ACATTCATTTTACATCATCCCTCACCTAGATGTGTGGACTTCAGGCTATAGCCTGAGACCTGTAAGCTAAGTGATATGTTCAGAAATCCGAACTCTTAGGGAATTGAAAAAGCTTGAGATCTGTTCACTGTATCTGACACAAAATAGCAGTGCTCAATACATATCTGTTGATGAAGAAAATGAATGAATGGTCTCTGAGGCTTCTTGCAGGATACTCCTGTTATTTTTGGCTCAGCTAACTTCTAAGCAGTACCAAACCTTCAGGCTTTCAGAGCTCTTCTGTTTTCAGTAGTTTTTTCCTGAAAGATGTTCTGTTTCCTGTAATGTTGTTTCTTTCTCTTTCTCTTTCTTTCCTTCTGCATTAGTAATAGTTTATGTAGGTTTGTAATGTTAGATAATGTGGTTTTTGAGGATCTCTATGTATATATCATTTAGTAAAGCATTCAGTGTATTTTCCAAACTTTGAATCAGTGGTTTTTATTCACTCCTTTTTTTTAACTTGAGGCGTTTTATTCATTTGTTGATATTTTAAAAGACTAGCCAGTATCCCAGACTTAGAACAAACTCTGGTCTCCAGGAAGTAAGAATGAGGAGAGGAGATAGTTAGGGAGTTTGGGATCACATGTACACACTGCTATATTTAAAATGGATAACCAACAAGGTCATACTGTATAGCATAGGGAACTCTGCTCAATGTTAGGTGGCAGCCTGGATGGGAGGGCAGTTTGGAGGAAAATGACAAATTTGTACGTATGGCTGAGTCTCTTTGTTGTCTGCCTGAAGCTATCACAATATTGTTAATCAGCTATACTTTAATACAAAATAAAGTTTAAAAAAAAAAGCCAGTTTCCTTGGTGTTCTGGTCTCAGGTGATCTTTTCATGTAGTAACAGCTCCATCTTGCGGACCTTAAGGGTATTACTACTGTTCGCTTTTAAGTTCTGACTTGTTTGCAGATGTGCAGATCTTTCATTTTGACACCTGAGGCGTAGATGTGGTGCTAGCTACTAGATGCTTCCAATGAGTAGAATGACATGTAATCACATACTGAGTCTGAGGTTTCCTACCCATGAATAATGTGTTACTTTTTCTAAACCACACAGTTATGACTTCAGGGATAGAGTAGTTTTCTGAGTCCTGGATTTAAATAATGTCTCCATTTTGGCGGCTTCTGTGGTAACTCAGCTAGTGAAAAAATCAGCTTGCAATGCAGGAGACCCTGGTTCGATCCCTGGGTTGGGACGATCCCCTGGAGGAGGGCATGGCGACCCACTCCAGTATTATGGCCTGGAGAATCCCCATGGACAGAGGAGCCAGGTGGGCTGCAGTCCATGGGTTTGCAAAGAGTTGGATGTGACTGAGCGAGTAAGCACAGCATAGCACCATTCTTTGGGTTTTTTATGTTGTATAGAGTAGGTGTCAGAAGGCTTGGAGCAGAAACTGAGGAATACTGTAGTCTCCCTTAGTTTGACCAAGAACTTAAATAAGTGACAGAAGTTTTAGCCTCTTGAATATAAATCTGTGTAGCTTTCTGCTTAGCCAAAGTAGCAGCAAGGTAATTACTGTCTGGAAATCTTTGGCTTATTTCATGTACTGATTGTATCAGTCCCTGTTTTTTGATGCAAAGTAGCAAAGAAGTAATTCTAATAAGTATGTCACTAAGTGATTTTCATTTTAAATCATTGTTTAAAATATGCATTTTTTAAAAGTAATGGCAGATTTGGCATCATGTGTACCCTTTTATAGAAGTTTTAAACTGAAAAACTGCATTTAAAATTTTATTCCTTGGTAAAAAATAATTTTATGATTATTTAAAGCATAGTTTTACTTAGAGACTCTATTTCAAGGTGATACTTGACTCTGGTGTACAAAGGAGGTAACAAAATGTGATTTTTCTTTAATTGGGTTTTTAGACAGTAAGCATCTGAGATTTTTTAAAAAAATATATCATTCAATTTCAAATAGTCAATTTAAGACTGTAAACTGATTACAGTAGAACTGTCATTGGTTAAAACATTTTTGGAGCATAGTATTTTATCTTCATAGTATTTTACATGCAGAATACTATAAAATACTTCATAGTATTTTACATACAGAATATATATAATATTATATACCAAATATACATAGTATTTTATATATAGAATACAATAAAATAGTTCATAGTACTTTATATACAGAAGAGCCATATAAAAAAGATCTTCATGACCCAGATAACCACGATGGTGTGATCACTTACCTAGAGCCAGACATCCTGGAATGCAAAGTCAAGTGGGCCTTAGGAAGCATCACTACAAACAAAGCTAGTGGAGGTGATGAATTCCAGTTGAGCTATTTAAAATCCTAAAAGAGGATGCTGTTAACGGGCTGTACTTAGTATATACCAGCAAATTTGGAGAACTCAGCAGTGGCCACAGGACTGGAAAAGGTCAGTTTTCATTCCAATCCCAAAGAAAGGCAATGCCAAAGAATGCTCAAACTACTGCACAATTGCACTCATCTCACACACTAGCAAAGTAATGCTCAAAATTCTCCAAGACAGGCTTCAACAGTACGTTAACTGTAACTTCCAGATGTTCAAGCTGCTTTTAGAAAAGGCAGAGGAACCAGCGATAAAATTGCCAACATCTGTCGGATCATCGAAAAAGCAAGAGAGTTCCAGAAAAACATCTACTTCTGCTTTTTTGACTATGCCTAATCCTTTGACTGTGGATCACAACAAACTGGAAAATTCTGAAAGAGATGGGAATACTAGACCACCTGACCTGTCTCCTGAGAAATCTGTATGCAGGTTAAGAAGCAACAGTTAGAACTGGACATGGAACAAGAGACTGGTTCAAAATTGGGAAAGGAGTATGTCAAGGCTGTATATTGTCACTCAAAATTTAACTTACATATACAGAGTATATCATACTAAATGCCAGGCTGGGTGAATCACAAGCTGGAATCAAGATTGCCAGGAGAAATATCAATAACCTCAGATATGCACATGACACCACCCTTATGGCAGAAAGCAAAGAACTCAAGAGCCTCTTGATGAAAGTGAAAGAGGAGAGTGAAAAAGTTGGCTTAAAGCTCAACATTCAGAAAACTAAGATCATGGCATCTGGTCCCATCACTTCATGGCAAATAGATGGGGAAACAGTGAGAGACTTTATTTTTTTGGGCTCCAAAATCACTGCAGATGGTGACTGCAGCCCTGAAATTAAAAGATGCTTGCTCCTTGGAAGAAAAGCTATGACCAACCTAGATAGCTTATTAAAAAGCAGAGACATTACTTTGCCAACAAAGGTCAAAGCTATTGTTTTTCCAGTAGTCATGTATGGATGTGAGAGTTGGCCTATAAAGAAAGCTGAGCACTGAAGAATTGATGCTTTTGAACTGTGGCATTGGAGGAGACTCTTGAGTCATTTGGACTCCAGGGAGATCCAACCAGTCAATCCTAAAGGAAGTCAGTCCTGAATATTCATTGGAAGGACTGGTGCTGAAGCTGAAACTCCAATACTTTGGCCAACTGATGCAAAGAACTGACTCATTGGAAAAGACCCTGATGCTGGGAAAGATTGAAGGTAGGAGGAGAAGGGGATGACAGAGGATGAGAATGATTGGATGGCATCATCATGGCATCATCAACTCGATGGACATGAGTTTGAGCAAGCTCCTGAATTTGGTGATGGACAGGGAAGCCTGGAGTGCTGCAGTCCATGGGATCTGAAAGAGTTGGACACAACTGAACAACTGCACTGAACTGATTTTATCTTCAGTGTCCAGCTTGTTGTCTTTTTGAGGAGTACCTGATTTTTTAAAAAGGGCTTCCCTTGTGGCTCAGCTGGTAAAGAATCCGCCTGTAGTGTGGGAGTCCTGGGTTTAATCCCTGGGTTGGGAAGATCCCCTGGAGAAGGGAAAGGCTAACCACTCCAGTTCTGGCCTGGGGGATTCCATGGACAGTACAGTCGATGGGGTCGCGAAGAGTTGGACATGACTGAGTGACTTTCAGTGATTTTTTAAAAAGACAAAAAGTTTGACACTGAAAGTAAAATAACTATGTTCCAAAAATATTTTAACCATACCTGATTTTTATTTTATTTTTTTATTTTTTCATACCTGATTTTTAAAAGGGCTTCTCTCTCTGGTGGCTCAGATGGTGAAGTATCTGCCTGCCTTGCAGGAGACCTGAGTTTGATCCCTGGGTTGGGAAAATCCCCTGGACAAGGGAATGGCAACACGCTCTAATATTCTTGCCTCTAGAATCCCATGGACAGAGCATCCTGACGAGCTACAGTCCATGGGGTCACAAAGAGTCGGACATGACTGAGCAACTAACATTTCACTTTGTATTTTATCTCCAGTGCCAAATTTCTTGTCTTTTGAGGAGTACCTGATTTTTAAAATCAGCCAAATTGGGGCTTCCCTGGTGGCTCAGTGGTAAAGAATCTGCCTGCCAGTGCAGGAGACATGGGTTTGATTCGTGGCCCAGGAAGGTCCCACATGCTGTGGAGCAACTAAGCCCGTGCACCACAGCTTCTGAGCCAGTACTCTAGCGCCCGGGAGCCACCATGACTGAGCCCATGTGCTTGGAGCCCGTGCTCTGCAAAAGCAGAAAGCCGGAGCACCACAGCTAGAGAGTCGCTCCCACTCACTGCAACTAGAGAAAAAGCCCTTGCAGCAATGCAGACCCAGCACAGCCAAAAATAAATAAAATTATTTTTAAAAACAGCAAAATTGGGAGAATAATGTGGGTAATCAAGCTGATTGATTTTGTCTGTTCTGATTTGGGGTTTGTCTTATAAACCGCCTGTTAAGATAGAAGCTCCAAAAGCATTTTGAGTAATTGCACTGTCGCTGGAGGAAATGCATGGAGATGGTTGCTTTGAAGATGGCCCTCCTCAGAGATACAAGTTCTGCTATGTTTAAAACTGTGTTCTTTATAGGAACATTCTTTCCACTGAAGTAAGAGGACAGATGAGCCCCAGTGACCCTCTGCCCTTTTCTGTGTTTCAGGAAGTGTTTCACATGGTGGTTGAAGTGCCACGCTGGTCGAATGCAAAAATGGAGGTATGTTTCACCTTTGCTCGTCAGATAGAGGATATCAGTTTTGATCTGGTCACACCGGTTTGCTCAAGGGTTAAACAGCTAAAGTCCAAGGTTGTGGTCTTTCTAGGCCCAATTGGTTTTCCATTCGTATCTCCCCTTGCCTGCCTGTCTTCCTTCTGTGCCCCAACTAAACTCAACCATTTACTGTGTGCAAATATGCTACACTTTTTCCTTTCCCACGCCTTTGCTTCTGGCACTCCCCAAACCGAGAATCACCTTTTTCTCTTCTGTCTTCTTCTCTTTAATTCCTTTGTTGACTCCTCCATGTAGTCAACAGGCTTGCTTCAGTCAGCCCAGCCATAAAAATAATTTTATTGGAATTTCTGTCACATTGTATTAATTTATTCTGATGACACCTAATAAATTTGGCTTTTTGTTGTGGATATCCATAATATTTGCTATCACCTAAGCTTTTTGACAGTAATAAAACTTCACATGTATTAGACAAATATTTGAATAATTCTAAATGCTTTAAAGGAAAGCTGAAGTTAGATATTTTCTCAAATGTTAGGATTTATTCTAGCTGATATTTTACTTTTTGCTTTCTGGAATTCAGAAAAAAGTAAATGTTCTTTTTCCCATCTTGTTCATTCCTGTGTACCTCAAATAAATTTTCCACTTACAGGCTGATTATGATGAGACTTTTATTTTAAATTATGAAAGTGTTCAGGGTAAAAATATGTCATGAAAGTGGAACTAGGGGATGCCTATTTCATAATTCCTTAAATTCCTATTTGAATAGTATTTCACATACAAATATACAATGATTTGAAATTTTTTGTTTCAGATTGCTACAAAGGACCCTTTAAACCCAATTAAGCAAGATGTGAAGAAAGGAAAACTCCGTTATGTTGCAAATCTGTTCCCTTATAAAGGGTATATCTGGAACTACGGTGCCATCCCTCAGGTCTGTCTCTGTGCAGTTGTGAGAAATGTACTTTTCAGCTTAGCTTACAAAAATTTAACCTACTACTTAAAGAAAAGACTTAAATACCTACAAAAAGTTTTTCCTATAGTAGATTATAATTATAGGGGGGTAATTAACTCATTTTAATACTTCCTTAAATAACTTATTTTCAAGATAAACTAAAAGGTAATTATTTCACGTTTGAAAGTCTGTTCTTCTCTGAAATATCTATTTTTTTTTTTTTAACATGGACTGGTTATAAACTACACAAATTCTTTCATTACAGGTTGAGTAGCAGATCTATTGAGAAACTAGAGCTTAAAAGCACTGATTTTTTTTGCACCACCTAGAAGAGGGTACAAATCCTAAGTCTGCCACTTTCTAGATTTTCTAACTTCCTTCTGCTTCTTCCTTCCTGAGATGGTAATATTCCCCCTTGAAATATTCCTAGTGCATAGCTCATGTGGCTGTTTGAGGAATCAAGCACTTAGAACGTGGCACATGGAAGTTCTTACAGCTGTTGACTTTTATCTCTATCATCCAGATTTCTCCTGCTTTGTGGTAAAGTAATAGTGGAGTTCCTAAACAGTCACCCCTTTGACATGAGGGGATATCTGCATTGTTTACCAATTTATCCCTAGCACAACAGCAGTGTGTATAGGCTCTTATTTCATATTTGAATAAAGAATCACTAGAATTCAGTATACATTACATGTATACTGAATTCTGGTTTGATTAAACCAACGCTGTGACACTTAAGATTTTCTAAATATTCAATTTATTTTCTTCCTGCTGAAAAGTTTGTTTTTATTAACCATTAAGTCTACTAAGTGGAATCTACTGTGAAACAACCTGTAAGTTGCTAAAACATAGGGCAAACCCATCTAGCTTGTGAAGTGAAAGTCGCTCAGTCGTGTCCGACTCCTTGCGACCCCGTGGACTATACAGTCCATGGAATTCTCCAGGCCGGAATACTGGAGTGGGTAGCTGTTCCCTTCTCTAGAGGATCTTCCCCACCGAGGGACTGAACCCAGGTCTCCCGCGTTACAGGCGGATTCCTTACCAGCTGAGCCGCAAGGGAAGCCCCATCTAGCTTGTGAGGTAATCGCCAAGTCTAAGCAGAGTGCTTCACCTTGTGCTTCAGCTGCTTTATTGTTTAGCCTTGAAACGTCTTCCCGCTGGGAAAGCATCGCTGAAATACTTCATCCTTCTGTAGGTTGAATTTGGTTTTGTTGGGTCTGGTCTTCTTTTCCCCATCACTTTTATCTCCCTGCCTTTACTCCAGCTGAGTAAGCAAACAAATCCAAGAAATATGTTCTGGGTTGGGAGGGGAAAGAACCAAAGCAGCAGCTGCACTTTAGACTGAACTTCCTGACAAGCACAGCCCATCCTTTCCCCTGCACCGTGCTCCGAGAGGACTCTGTCTCACAGTTTAGCAGGAAAGAAACCCAGCGATTTAAATTTTCAGCAAATCCTGATTAAACTTCTCATTCTTGATCCTGGCCAGTGATGAAATTTTTGCCATCAGCACATGTCATTTCCATTTTGATATTACCACCTACCTAGCTCTGCTTGGAGACATCTTTTAAAGAAAGTCTAGTTAATAGAATAAGTACAAAGAGTTCACCAAAGCAGTTTTCTTTGAATACATTTTTAAGTGAACATCTGGGTCTACATTTGTGTTTGCATATTGTCTCAGTTATTAGATAGTTGGGTTTTTTCTGTTTAAGATAGGATCATTATCCATTTTTAAGTTTAAATTTAGTTTAGCATTATGTGCTTAACAGGAGCCCAGCATTTAATTAAGATTATTGTGGTAGTTAAGGTATGAATAAAGGATTCACTTTAATGAGAAATAAATAGCTGAAGATTCCTATCTTTGCAGAAAGATCACGGATCTTTTAGTGCCAACATGATCCGCTTTTGTCGTTAACACATACAGGAATAATACACTCTTAAGTTTTATTTTTATTTTTTTTTAGACTTGGGAAGACCCAGGACACAATGACAAACACACTGGCTGTTGTGGTGACAATGACCCAATTGATGTGTGTGAAATTGGAAGCAAGGTAATAGAATCTGAAATATTTTTCTTTAATGTTGAGATGAGGGCAATGAAATCTACAAAATTCTTACTTTAAAAAACATTGTAAATAAAATACATGAATATCAGTGAAGTAATGATGTCTCTTTGGGTGATAAAAGCTTCCATTCCATTCTAAGCATTTGTACAATATAATTTGTAATTTAAACCTAGCCTAGGAAGAGGTGTATATTATATGCATGTGTGTGGAAGAACTGGACATCTTCTGCATTGCTTTAAAAGGCAGATGAGGAGTCAGGGGATAAAGGGTACCAGGAGGCAACAAGGCAAAACCTGCCTCAGGATTTGGAGTGACTAGTAAATTGGCCCCATAGGGGTTAAATAACCCCACATGTTGGGGGTTTATGGTAGGGATTCCTGTATCAAGTAGAGTTGCTCTACGGTTCTAACTATGGTTATTTTCCTTTTTTTTTTTTAAGTGGTTATTTTCTTTATGATCTTTCCCAGCCTCAAGAAAAGAGAAAGCAACTGAAAAGAAAGTTGTCATTCAGTTGCTTAAGTCATAAAGTTCAGGCTTATTGTATGACTTTCCTAACTCAGTGACTTCTATAAAATAAAAAGGTAAGGAGGGCGCATTAAAATAGGTGGTTGAAACAAACTCTGGAGCACTTATTCTTCAGCACAAGCAACGACTGTTTAAAAAACATGAATCACCCTCAACTCTGATGGGATTAGTGGACATAAAAATTGCTTACAGGAACCATCTTAAGTTTGTAGAAACTTGGCATCGTCCTCATTTCCTGTTATCCACCAAGTAAAACTGTTCTTCCAAAGTTCGATTCTGTAGCTTTGACCTAGCTGTGGTTTTTGACTCTCAGGTGTGTGCACGGGGGGAAATCATCAGAGTGAAAGTTCTGGGCATTCTGGCTATGATTGACGAAGGGGAGACTGACTGGAAAGTCATCGCCATTAACGTGGAAGACCCGGATGCAGCCAATTACAACGGTAAGAAAATACGCAGGGTCTGGGCCTTACCCAGGACCAGACCTGAGCTGTGATGACAGTCGGTAAGCCCATGCCTTCAAGCTGGTAAAGGATGCGGAGCAAAACATTGCACAGAGCATTGTGATTTCTGCTACTGGACTTGTGTGCTTAACTAAGTAAGCTTTCTCCTTCATTCCAGGAAAGGAGAAATCTGGTAGTTTGTCTCTCCTGTTTTCTTCTTTCCTTTTCCACATGCTAGCACTTACTTGCTGTATTTAAAAAAAAAAATAAAAAAATTGAGATATACATGCCACATGTCATAAAATTCGCCCTTTTAAGGTTTCCAATTCCATGGGTTTGATACATGCACTAGGCTGTTAACTGCCACCACTATCTGATTCTAGATCATTTTTACCATTCCAACAGAAAATCCCACCTGCATTAACAGTCACTCCGTATCCCCGCTTCCCTCAGGCCCTGGCAACCACCTACCTATTGCCTGTCTTTATGGATCTGCTTGATCGGAACATTTCACATCAATGGGATCACATGATATCTGACTTCCTTCACTTAGCATACTGTTTTCAGGGTTCATCTACATTGTAATGTGTATCAGTACTTTATCCCCCCCTTTTTTTGGTGGTAAAATTAACATAAAATTCACTGTCTTGACTATTTTAAAGTGTACAATTCAGTGGCATTTAGTACATTCACAATGTTGTGCAACCATCACCACTTATTTCAGAACATTCTCATCACCCTGAAGGGAATCTCTGTACCTTTAAGTACTTAGTCACCCCCTGTTCCCTCCTCCTCCGAGGCCCCGACAGTCACTTACCTGTTTATGTCTGTGAATTTGCCTGTCCTGGATATTTCACATACATGGAATTGTAAAAAATATGGCCTTCTGTGTCTGGTTTCTTTTTACTTAGGTTGTCTAGGTTTATCCGTGTTGTATCATGTACCAGTACTTATTTTTTTAATGGCTGAGTTATATTCTGTAGTGTGGATATATATCACATTTTGTTTATCCATTCATTTGTTGATGGACATTTGGGTTCTTTTTGGCTATTAGGAATAACGTTGCTGCTCTGAACATTCCTGTATAAGTTTTTGTGTGGACATGTGTCTTTAATCCTCTGGGGTGAGCAAGCTCCGGGAGTTGGTGATGGACAGGGAAGCCTGGCACGCTGCAGTCCGCGGGGTCACAGTCACACAGCTGAGCGGCCTAACTGACTGACTGGTTCTGTGTAGCCAGGAGTGGAGTTTCTGAGTGAAATGGTAACTCTTAATGTTTAGCCCCTTGATCGTGATTTAGTTGCTAAGTCGAGTCCAGCTCTTGCAACCACATGGACTGTAGCCCACCAGGCATCTCTGTCCATGGAAATCTCCTGGCAAGAATTCCGGGGTGGGCTCCATCTCCTTCTTCTGGATCTTCCCGACCCAGGGATTAAACTGGGGTCTCCTGCATTGTGGGCGGATTGTTTGTCAACTGAGCTACCAGGGAAGTCCCATGTTTTGCCCCTTGAGGAACTGCCAGATTTTTTCCAAAGCAGCTGCACCATCTTACCCTGAGAGGGTTCCAATTTTTCTACTTCCTTGCCAGCACTAGTCATTTATCTTTTTAAAGTATAGCCATTCTGATGGGATGTATCATCACATTTTTGAGCTATAAGAGTACTTATATGTTTTGGATACTAGACCTTTATCAGCTATATATGATTTGTCTGTATTTTCTTCCATTTTGTGGATTTGTCCTTTTGTTTTCTTAATGGTGTCCTTTGAAGTACTCATAGTTTTCATTTTGATGTAGTCTATTTTTTCTTTTATTGCTTGTGCTTTTGGTATCATATTTAAGAAACCATTGCCTAACCCAGAGTCACAGAGTTGTTTCCTTCTAAGAATTTTATAAATTTAGCTCTTACATTATTCCTTTCTGCTGTTGTTTTTACCTTTTAGAGTACCACCTCATATATATTTAAATATGTGCATATTTGCATATATATATAAACTCATTTAAAAAAGACTCAACACCAACATTTAATAGTGCAATGGGAAAAAAAGATGGAGACTGACTTTTTCTTTCAGAAAGTTCTGTATTATTTAAATTGTATACATGAGAGTGCATTCCTTCATTTAGTCCTGATCCTGTTGATCACTGTGTCCATTTTCACATGTGCTATTTACATAAGAGTTCAGTTCAGTCGCTCAGTCGTGTCTGACTCTTTGTGACTCCACCCCAGCACGCCAGGCCTCCCTGTCCATCACCAGCACCTGGAGTTTACTCAAGCTCATGCCCACTGAGTTGGTGATGCCATCCAACCATCTCATCCTCTGTCGTCCCCTTCTCCTCCTGCCCCCAATCTTTCCCGGCATCAGGGTCTTTTCCAATGAGTCAGCTCTACGCATCAGATGGCCAAAGTACTGGAATTTTAGCTTCAGCATCAGTCCTTCCAATTAATCTTCAGGACTGATCTCCTTTACGATGGACTGGTTGGATCTCCTTGCAGTCCAAGGGACTCCCAAGAGTCTTCTCCAACACCACAGTTTAAAAGCATCAATTCTTTGGCGCTCAGCTTTCTTTATAGTCTAACTCTCACATCCATACATGACTACTGGAAAAACCATAGCCTTGACTAGACGGACCTTTGTTGACAAAGTAATGTCTCTGTTTTTTAATAAGCTCTCTAGGTTGGTCATAGCTTTTCTTCCAAGGAGCAAGCATCTTTTAATTTACATGGCTGCAATCACCATCTGCAGTGATTTTGGAGCCCAAAAAAATAAAGTCTGCTACTGTTGCCACTGTTTCCCCATCTGTTTGCCATGATGTGATGGGACTGGATGCCATGATCTTAGTTTTCTGAATGTTGAGCTTAAACCAACTTTTTCACTCTCCTCTTTCACTTTCATCAAGAGGCTCTTTAGTTCTTCTTCACTTTCTGCCTCAAGGGTGTTGTCATCTGCATATCTGAGGTTATTGAAATTTCTCCTGGCAATCTTGATTCAAGCTTGTGCTTCTTCCAGCCCATTGTTTCTCATGGTATACTCTGCATATAAGTTAAATAAGCAGGGTGACAATATACAGCGTTGACATGCTCCTTTTCCTATTTGAAACCAATCTGTTGTTCCATGTCCAGTTCTAACTGTTGCTTCCTGACCTGCATACATAGTTCACAGGAGGCAGGTCAGGTGGTCTGTTATTCCCTTCTCTTTCAGAGTTTTCCACAGTTTATTGTGATCCATACAGTCAAAGACTTTGGCATAGTCAATAAAGCAGAAATAGATGTATTCCTGGAAGTCTCTTGCTTTTTCGATGATCCAGCGGATGTTGGCAATTTGATCTCTGTTCCTCTGCCTTTTCTAAAACCAGCTTGAACATCTGGAAGTTATTGTTGAAGCCTGTCTTGGAGAATTTTGAGCATTACTTTACTCAATTGTGTGATGAGTGCAATTGTGCTGTAGCATTCTTTGGCATTGCCTTTTTTAGGACTGGAATGAAAACTGACCTTTTCCAGTCCTGTGGCCACTGCTGAGTTTCCCAAATTTGCTGGCATATTGAGTGCAGCCTGTTAACAGCATGATCTTTTAGGATTTGAAATAGCTCAACTGGAATTTATCACCTCCATTAGCTTTGTTTGTAGTGATGCTTTCTAAGGCCCACTTGACTTCACATTCCAGGATGTCTGGCTCTAGGTGAGTGATCACATCACTGTGATTATCTGGGTTGTGAAGATCTTTTTTGTACAGTTCTTCTGTGTATTCTTGCCACCTCTTCTTAACATCTTCTGCTTCTGTTAGGTCCCTAAGATTTCTGTCCTTTATTGAGCCCATCTTCACATGAAATGTTCCTTTGGTATCTCTAATTTTCTTGAAGAGATCTCTAGTCTTTCCCATTCTATTGTTTTCCTCTATTTCTTTGCATTGATCACTAAGGAAGGCTTTCTTATCTCTCCTTGCTATTCTTTGGAACTCTGCATTCAAATGGGTATATCTTAGCTTTTCTCCTTTGCTTTTTGCTTCTCTTCTTTTCATAGCTATTTGTAAGGCCTCTTCAGACAGCAATTTTGATTTTGCATGTCTTTTTCTTGGGGATGGTCTTGATTCCTGTCTCCTGTACAATGTCACAATCCTCCATCCATAGTTCATCAGGCACTCTGTCTATCAGATCTAGTCCCTTAAATCTATTTCTCACTGCCACTGTATAGTCATAAGGGATTTGATTTAGATCATACCTGAATGGTCTAGTGGTTTTCCCCACTTTCTTCAGTTTCAGTCTGAATTTTGCAGTAAGGAGTTCATGATCTGAGTCACAGTCAGCTCCCAGTCTTGTTTTTGCTGACTGTATAGAGCTTCTCCATCTTTGGCTGCAAAGAATATAATCAGTTTGATTTCGGTGTTGACCATCTGGTGATGTCCATGTGTAGAGTCATCTCTTGTGTTGTTAGAAGAGGGTGTTTGCTAGGACCAGTGTGTTCTCTTGGCAAAACTCTATTAGCCTTTGCTCTGCTTCATTCTGTACTCCAAGGCCAAATTTGCCTGTTAACCCAGGTGTTTCTTGACTTCCTACTTTTGCATTTCAGTCCCCTATAATGAAAAGGACATAGTTTTTCAGGTGTTAGTTCTGGAAGGTCTTGTAGGTCTTCATAGAACTGTTCAACTTCAGCTTCTTCAGCGTTACTGCTCTGGGCATAGACTTGGATTACTGTGATACTGAATGGTTTGCCTTGGAGACAAACATCGATCATTCTGTCGTTTTTGAGATTGCATCCAAGTACTGCATTTTGGACTCTCTTGTTGACTATGATAGCTCCTCCATTTCTTCTAAGGGATTCTTGCCCATAGTAGTAGATATAATGGTCATCTAAGTTAAATTCACCCATTCCAGTCCATCTTAGTTCACTGATTCCTAAAATGTTGACGTTCACTGTTGCCATCTCCAATTTGACCACTTCCAATTTGCCTTGATTCATGGACCTAACATTCCAGGTTCCTATGCAATATTGCTCTTTACAGCATCGAACCTTGCTTCTATCACCAGTCCCATCCACAACTGGGTGGTGTTTTTGCTTTGGATCCATCCCTTCATTCTTTCTGGAGTTACTTCTCCACTGATCTCCAGTACCATACTGGGCACTTACCGACCTGGGGAGTTCATCTTTCAGTATCTTATCTTTTTGCCTTTTCATACTGTTCATGGGGTTCTCAAGGCAAGAATACTGAAGTGGTTTGCCATTCCCTTCTCCAGTGGACCACGTTCTGTCAGACCATGACCTGTCTGTCTTAGGTGGCCCCACACGGCATGGCTTAGTTTCATTGAGTTAGACAAGGTGTCTTGCTGGGACTTCTCCTCAGCCCTTGGACGTGGGGCATCTCCTCACAGCCGCTTCAGTGCCTACTGTCTTACTTGGGTTTCTCTGACCTTGGACGTGGGGTATCTCTACACGGGTATCTCTGGGTGGCTGGCCCCGTGGTGCAAGCAATATATAGCTTCCCTTAAATGTCAGTGTAAGGCAGTGTCCGTCATCTGTTATAACTGGGAGAGAATTAAGTAGAGAGAGCACTTGACAAGCCACCACTTTGGGAGGAATATAGAGCCAAGGGGAGGACGGCCTACCCACTAAGGCGACCGGGTTGGCCATGTTGATCCTCTTTGACGTTGTGGGGCCCACGATGGCCAGCCACCCGCCTGCTGCAGTTGTGGGCGTCAGGAAAGTGAGCATTTCTTGCTGCTCATGGTTGTGGGCTGATTAGAGGCTGAACCCAAGCAACAGCACAGAATTGATACATAAAGTACAACATGAGGAACAAAAATTGAGGTTTTCCCTACTTTTTTTTTTTCCCTTGGGTCTAGTGTCCAGGGTTCCCTAGTCTGGGTCCAGCATACCTTTCAATATCTGGTTCAAAAAAAGTCAAACAGTTCATCAGTTCTTACATTTTATTGCTTACTATGATAGAATACAGAAATATGTTAGATCTTTGTCTTTAGTTTTTGGCAAAGAACAAAATCCCTTGGAATTTCCTGAGTGATGAGTGTGTCTTTTATTCACAGTGAGCCCCTTTCATTACACCTGAGTTTGTGCTAATAAGGTGACTTAAGGTGGGGCCCCTAGCTAGCCTCAGACAGGCTCAGTCAACAGAAAAACTGAATGATTAAAGGGTGGGAACTTTTAGCCCCAACCACTGACCCCTGGGACTGGGGGGGGAGGCTCCATGAGAAGTCTGGAATCGTGAGATGTGGAGCACTTCTGAGGTGGTGAGCACACTGCAGGGCTGGGAGAGTGGCATGCCTCCCTCCGCCCCGCAGAGGACGTGGGAACTACACCCTGCATCCCCCCACACTGGGTCCTATGCATCTGTCCCATTGGACTGTTTCTGAGTTGTATCCTTGATACTAAACCAGTAAACATAAGCTCAGTGTTTTCTTGAGTTTTATGAGTCTTTCTGGCAAATTATCAAACCCAAGGAGAGAGTTACAGGAAACTGATTTATAGCAAGTGGTCATGGCTTGGAATTTGCCACCAACATCTGAAGTGGGATCACTCTTGTGGAACTGAGCCCTCTAACTGTGGGACCTGACTCCATTAGTCAGTGTCATTATTGAACTGAATTGTCAGACTTGCATTTGGTGCCTAAAGAATAGAATTGGATGGGAAATTTGTTGGAAGACAACATACACTTGCATTTTGGATTTCTGCATTTTCAAACTATTTCTGTATCAGATGATACCTTCTATGTGAATTATAAGTTCCTTGAAATTTATCAGTGTTTAAACATTTCCCAGTCCACTTTGTAAACTTTCCCTACTTTAAGTGGTACCCTGATAATAAAATGCATGATTTTCTTTAACTATATACATTATAAATTGGGCTTAAGCCAAGTTTATATTATAGAAATATAAATAAGCTGTTGTTGAACGTATTCCTCCTTCCAATTACAATTTTCCTGATGGATTTTTTTTGTACTTGTATCTTCTATTGTTTGCATGGAAAAGCAGTTTGGTCATTTAAACTTGAGTTTGATGGCATTGAGGCTCAGCATTGATAATGGCTATAGAGAAACTTAGTATCTTTTATCCTTCTCTTTGGAGAAGGGAATGGCAACTCACTCCAGTGTTCTTCCCTGGAGAATCCCATGGACAGAGGAGCCTGGAGGGCTACAGTTCATAGAGTTGCAAAGAGTTGGACATGACTGAACAACTGAAACACACATCCTTCTCTTAGGGCTTCCCAGGTGATTCAGTGGTAAAGAATCTGCCTGCATTGCAGGAGATGCAGGTTTGAGCCCTGGGAAGTTACACATGCTTGCCAAACTATTCTCTCATGCAGCCCTCAGTCATCCAGTCATTTCTCCCCACTCTTATTTAATAGGAATTATTGTGGTACTGATTGTTCTCTTAGTACTTAATGCCAGAGCTATTCTAAGACACTAGATGATTTTCTTTTAATGTGTATATATGTTCTCTTCTCAAAAAGATATTAGTTCTAACATTATTTGAACTTTTTTGACAATCCAACCTATAGCTCTACAAAGTACTTGCTATTTTTATTGAATGCATAAATAATTACATGTACATCTTGCAATCTGAGAAGAGATTCTTATTCTCTTCTTAGATATTAATGATGTCAAGCGTCTGAAACCTGGCTACCTGGAAGCTACTGTGGATTGGTTTAGGAGGTACAAGGTTCCAGATGGAAAACCTGAGAATGAGTTTGCTTTCAATGCAGAATTTAAAGATAAGGTAAGGTGTCACTCAGAACTGTAGCTTTAGGCCTATCTGTATTGAGACATAATTTAACCATATTTTTACCATCTAAAGACTATATGACCATAAAATAGATGTTTAAAGACACAAGACAGGCTTTATGTTGATTTGTCCATTTAAATGGTTTTCTTCCATTTTTGATACAAGGAAATGATTCAAAAGAGATGAAGCTATCATGCTTTGGTAAAATGTTGATAATAAGAAAAGAACAGGGATGTTCCCTGGTGGTCCAGTGGTTAAGATTCTGTGTTCACTGCAAGTACCATGGGTTCTAGCCCTGGTTGGGGAACTAATTCCACATGCCATGCACCATGCCCAAAATTAGAAAAGGAAAGAACTTGTTTCTATTATTCTAATGAATATCTCTTTAAATTTTAGAGCTTTGCAATTGACATTATTGAAAGCACTCATGACTACTGGAGAGCATTAGTGACTAAGAAAACTGATGGAAAAGGAATCAGCTGGTAAGCATTAACTCTTTTCTCCATGTTTAACACACAAAGCAGACTTGCTTACTCCAGATACATTAATAACCTTAACATATTGTACTGTTACCTTCACTTAGGAAAGAGATAACTGGTTTTATCAGTACTTAAGTCAATAGGAAGTGTAGACTGAAAGAAAAACCACACAACGTAAAGGTTGTGAGTTACAATTTATTTGAGGATTATAGCCCAGGAGACAGCCTCTCAGATAGCCCTAAAGAGATGTAAGGGAGAAGCCAAGAGAGATATAAACATTTTTTTTTTTTTTTAGCTGGGAAAACATGTAGTCAAGCATAAAAAGATGACTGCTAATCATAAAGAAGTGGCATCTCAAGTTAATGATTTCAGTGCTTTTCTATGTATGAGAATAGGCAAGAATCTGGGGTCATTTGAAATTTTTTCTTAGAAATTCATGTTAACTATCTAGGAGCCAGTATACTCAAATCTTTCCTGTTCTTCTCCATCCTGAATTCCCCTCAGGGCACACTGTCAGCAGGTAACTATAGTGGCTAGTGGCTTGATCCTTGTAGAACTGGAATATAGCAGGCAACATTTTTTTCTTTGCAGAAAGTTAAAAAAAAAATGCCACAAAGATACTCTGAATAAGTACAAACTAAAATTATAAAGGGCAGTGAGATCAGAGCTTTGTAAGGGTAACTAGGGAAAACTGCCTAGCATCAGGGTGCTCAGAATGGGTTGAGTGCAAGGGTTGGTATTCTCTGATGTAAATATGTAGGATTATCACAATTAAACCAGGATCTACCATGCACACTGAATTAACTACTACTACTACTTCTACGGAGAAGGAAATGGCAACCCACTCCAGTGTTCTTGCCTGGAGAATCCCAGGGACGGGAAAGCCTGGTGGGCTGCCGTCTATGGGATCGCACAGAGTTGGACACGACTGAAGCGACTTAGCAGCAGCAGCAGCAACTACTTCTACTGCTAATAACAATAACTAATACTGATTGAGCAGTTAATATTTGCCAAGCATGCAACAGAGATACAGGGAGATTAAACTTAACCAAGGTCATACCACAGTTAAGTGTTTTGGAGTGAGGACTCGCATCCAAGTCTGTGTGGCCCCATCTTATTTTTAGTATAATATACTCCCTCCTTTAAAAGATTATAAGAGAATGGCCACCATTACCACTTAACTAGTGTTGTTCTGAAAATACTAGCTGATGAAGTAAATAGGAGAAAGAAATAAGATGCAGGAATACTGGAAAAGGGGGAAGCAAATTGTTGCAGATGATGTGACTCTGTACCCAGAAAACCCTAGAAAAAAGAATTCCATAAGGTAGATGATTACAGAATGAGTATATATGCACATTGCTAGCTTTGTATATGAACATAACAGAAACTATAATGAAGGAAAAGATCCCAGGTAGAATAGTATTTAAGGAAAAAAAGTATAAATAAGAAATATGAAGGACCCAGAAGAAGAAAACTTTAAAACTCTATAGAGAAATATAAAAGATGTTAAATGTAAAGGTATCATATATTCATGAATAACATTCAGTTTCATCTAGGAAAAAAACCTGCATGTCAGAATAGTGAGAGAAATCCTGAAAAAAAAAACAAGGGTAGTGGTGGTGAGGTTTGCACCAACTGCCTATTTAAGAAGAAGATGAGGATAGATCTTTATCTTGCCCTTTACATTCCTTTCTTCCTCCAGATATGCACACTGGCAACCACCCTCATGCTGTGGCTGCTTTTCATTTCTGAAAGGTGCTGTACCAGACAGGTGCTCCTCAAGTGCCTTGTACAAATAGCCCAGCACCAACCAGTGTTCTTAACCCCAGCTACTTTATACCCACATGTTAGTTGGTGCTGGCTGCCAGCATGAGTTTGGAGCTCTTGTCAGTGTTTAATTCCAGACAGATAAATTGTAATGTGAGAAAATTCTAGAAAAAGACTAGGTGAATTTAATTCATTAGCTTGTAGTAGGGAAGACCTTTCTAAACAGAAGACAGACTCAAAATCCAGAAAAGAAAGATTTACTTACGATTTTTTAATGTATCAGGAGGCAGTTCTTCCCAGTTTTTTCTTAACACCTGACAAAGGACTAAATTTCTTAATTTATAAATAACTTACTCAAATTGATAAGAAGAAGGAATACTAAAGGAGAGAAAAAGATAAAGTAAGTTTACATATAAGAAGATGTGCAGCCTCACTTTATAATTTAAAATGCAGCTCAGAAAGGTAGTGTTATCCTTCAATAGATTTGCATATGTAGTTGTGAGAGCTTGAATGGGTACAGCCTTTGTGAGGGCAGTTTGACAGTAGTCAGTTCCTAGTTTTTTGTGTATCTTTTTTTTTTTAATTGGAGGATAATTGCTTTACAATGTTGTGTTAGTTTCTGCTGTATAACATGTAAATCAGCCATTAATCTCAAAATTTTAAATTCTTGTATTTCTTTGTAGCACTACTACTAGGAATGTATCCTATAGATATAGTCCTGAAAGATGTATGTACAAGGATGTTCATTGCAGTGTCATTTATAATATCAAAAAAGTTAGAAACAACCAAATTTTAATGATTAAGCAATTCATAGAACAGTATATGGCACATTATTCTCTATATGTTGATATGGAATGATGTCCAAAATATATTAAAATGAGAAAAGCAAAGTCCATAGCAGTATACTTATCATAGTGTGATCCCATTTATGCAAGGTAAGATATACATACACATCCCCGCATCTGTTTATATTATAAATTTCTTTTCTGGAGGGAGAAAAGAACTATAGGAGATTCCCAGGAATCTTCTGTAAGTTGGGATAATGTCTTGTAAAATAAAAACATCTGTCTCTCCACACACAAAAGAAAAACTGAGCACACACACCTTTGTATGAAAATGTACAATCATGAGACTTTGCTTTTAATAACTTCTCTATTTTGTAGTATCCTATTATTTCTATGGAAATGGCCTTAGTGCATGTTAAGTAACAGGTAGCTGAATGTATTTTCTTTTTCATAGAATATTTTTGATCATAACTACATAACAGTATATAATAATTCAATATGAAGGAAATTTTGCATCATAGTTAACCAAAAAAAGTTTTTAAAAAATCACTTTAATCTCAGTTTTTCCATAGATACTCTTAGTAACATGCAGTTTTCTCTTTTTAGAGTCCTTTTTAAGTATATTTTCAAAAATAATCATATTGTATGTATAATATATGGGCTTCCCAGGTGGCACAGTGGTAAAGAATCCATCCAACTGCTAATGTAGGAGACACAGGAGATGTAGGTTCGATCCCTGGGTCAGGAAGATCCCCTGGAGTAGGAAATGGCAGCCTATTCCAGTATTCTTGCAGGGATAATCCCATGGACAGAAGAGCTTGGTGGGCTATAGTCCATGGGGTCCTAAAGAGTAAGACAGAATTGAGCAACTAAGCATATGCACATATATAATATATACATTTTGTTTTGTGGTTTAGAAAAGTTAACACTACCAGCATTTGTTAGGTCTTTATATATATAATATTTTATAAATATCCCATCTGTATATTGTTCTGTCTGATGGATAAATCATTTTTAATCATCTCTGTTGTTGGACATTTTGGTTACTTCCAGTTTTTCAATCTTTATCAATAGTGAAATCATGTATATTGAACATCTTTGTACATAATTATTTAAATCTGAGTTTGGAGAGGTGGAATTTGTCTATCAAAGTGTATGTACTTTCTAAAAGGTTTTGGACACATTTTTTTTTTGGTGGCAGTTTTTAAATTTTTTTTCTTTTTTTATTTTGTTGTGGACATTTTACCAGACTATTTTTCAGGAATATTGAACCAGGTGTTGCTCCTGCCAGGTGTCAACACCGATAGACACCAAATTTTTGTTTTTTTCATTTTATCTAATTATAAAAACTAGGCTTCTCATTTTAATTTGCATTTCTTAGCGCTTTCAAAGAAAGCACTCAATCACAGATTTTAAAATCTGAACTTGTTAAAGTATTTGAGTAAAATCTATCTTAAGAATAGCTGTATCTTGCCAAAATAATCAGAATGTTTAATATAGGTGAGAAATCTTTCAACGATGCCAAACTTGAATCTCACCTGACTTACCAGCTTCAACTTGTTATTTTAAACACCAGTTTTAATGAGAGAAGTTTGTTAGTGTGACACTTTCCCTTTGTGTAACAGCATGAACACCACGGTGTCTGAGAGCCCCTTCCAGTGTGATCCTGATGCTGCCAAAGCCATTGTGGATGCTGTAAGTAAAGGCTTCCTGGAAAAAAAAACACATGCGGTGCCCAAAAAATATGGTGTTGAATGGGGAGGGAAAGTACGGTCAATAAATATTTGAGGGTGTCCTGTACGTCTGTTATGGTGTGAGGTCTTGAAATTACAAACCATAAACTCAAGTAGACATTGGCCTGAGGGAAACCTGAGGAGAATCCTAGTCAACCCTAACCTGGGCAGATAGCAAGGTAGGACAGTTTGTAAGACTCAAAATGACTCTAGAATGTTCTAAATAACCCAAGTGCCTGGGTACTTATCATAAGCCATTTTTCACAAGAGTACCAATGGGAACTTACTTGGCTTGGTCATAGCAAAGATGGAGAAAGTCATCAAATTTCAGGTACCATTCCAAGAGTGGTTTGTAGTCCTAGAGAGACTTTTCATGTGAGGTAATAAATCATCCATCAAAGAAATAATCTAATTTTGATTAACCTAAAGACTGAAGCTTGTTTAAAATTATTCTCATTTATAATATTAGACAAGAAAAACAAAAGAAAATGAGGTCTGACTTTACTGACTTGTAAACAAGGTAGTACAAGAGAAAAAGACAATTTAATGATGAAGCCAGTACCTTTAGATTTATTTTTATTTTTGTATAAATTTTGACAAAGTTGAGATAAATTAGAAGGGAAAAGCCATTGGTTAACAACCGTTACTTTTCAATAAGAATATTCTGCCTACATTTTATATATATGTATGTATATATAAAGTCTATATATACATGTTTTTTAATTATTTCAAAAAAACATTTTTATTAATTATTCTCCTGTGTGTCATTAAAAGCCAAGAGGTTTTGAATTTGTTAGCATTTCTTAGCAGTAGAGCAAGCTTTGCATTGTTCCCATCTGGTGTAAATTATTTTTAGAACTTAAAATTTGAGATAGTTGTCTTTTGTTCACATTCCTTTTGATCTTTCTGTCAATATACTTTTTTTAGCTTATTCTTTTTCTGGAATTAGGCTAATATATTTTAATACTGTATTTTAGTTACCACCACCATGTGAATCTGCCTGCACAATACCAACAGATGGTAAGATCTATATTCTAGTAAAATTACATTAAACATTATGCATTTGTGTGGGAAATTACACGTATATCTATAGATACATCTTACATACCACATACATACAGAGAAAGAGGAGAATGGGGAGAAGCAGCATGCTCAGTGTTTTGAGGCATATGCGGGAAAAAGATGGCTGTACGTACCACCTTTAGTGCCGCCCCCAGTCATGACCCACTGTTCTCTGAGTTCCTGGTAGATGCCTCGTGGAGACTGGAGCAGGCTGGGCTCTGCATCCCTGTCTGGCCATAGGCTGATTCACCCAGAAAACAGTTCTTTCCATCTTTAGATATTAGAATTCTCTGTAAGGTTCTTCTGGTGAGAGTTGCCTGTAGGATCAGCCATCAGAGTAAGGATGTTTAGTTGCTCAGTCATATCCGACCCTGCGACCCCATGGACTGTAGCCCACCAGGCTCCTCTGTCCATGGGATTTCCCAAGCAAGAATACTGGAGTGGGTTGCCATTTCCTTCTCCACAAGAGTAAGGAAGCCCCAAACAAAACACTGATAAGTTACCTGTTTTGGTAGTTTAGTGAAGCTGTGCATGTATGTAGATTTGTTTTAATGTAGTCCATAACAGGATATATTAAAGCAAGTATATTATTCACTGTTATATGTTGGGTGTAATTTTGATTCCTAACAGGGATTCTAATTTGTTTATCTTTTTCCTGACTACAGTGGATAAGTGGTTCCATCACCAGAAAAACTAAGGAAATTTCTCTGGAATACAAGCTGATACGGCTGCATCCTGCTTGTCGGAAAGTGTTAGATGTCAAAGTAGTAGCTTTTCCAAGCTTTAAATTTATAGAACTAATCCGTCGGATTCTGCTGTCACCAATCCAATATATTCATATGTTATCCATCTAAGAGCATTTGTCATGTCAACTTAAGTAACTTTTAGTTCCTGCTTAAATATCAAGGCGGTTGTAGTTTGGAAGTCATCTGTGGCTGAGTATGCAAGATAAGTACATATTGGATGTATATGTTTGCCATGGGTTAGGAAATAAAAATTATTTTGTTTCAACTTGGTTTATGATATTTTTATTTTAATCTGAAGCCTAACACTACCAAGCAAGCTTGGGTGCTGTTTGGTAGGTATTTGTTTTCTATGACTGATCTTATAATTCAGTTTTATTAGACTAAAAACTGACTTTATTGTTTTAGGCACCTGAAAATGAAATCGCTTATATTTACAGTAGTTCTTGATACTCTGCTCTTACCTAATTCCTGTCGTCCCATTGTGAACCATCAGTCAAAATAGTTATGTGATTAAATTTGTGACTTTGGAGCTCTGCAGACCTGAGTTTTTAATCCTACATCATCTACTTACTTAGCTCTGTAATCTCAGGTTAGGTACCAAAGACCCAACTCCAGCTCCCTCATTTGTAAAAGAGATGCAATTTGTGTGAAGGCATTATTAAGCATTCAGATTGTTTTAATTGAAATTTTTTTTGAGATCATTATAAATTCACATGCAGTTGTTAAGAAATAATACAGAGAGACTTTCTCTATGCCTTTTCCCCCAAAGGTAAGAGTTTGTAAAGCTACAATCTGATAATACAACCAGGATATGGCCCTGATAGTCTACCCGTCATCCTCAGATTTCTCAGTCTTGCTTGAACTCATCTGTATGGTGTGTTTTTCTGTATAATAACCTGTGTGGGCTCCTGTGTCCTACAAGATACTTAACACTTCTAATATCACAAAGACCCCTGGTTTTATCTTTTTATAACCACACCCATCTCTCATTTCCTCCCCACTTCCCATTCTTAATCCCTGACAACTACTAATCCTTCATTTCTACAATTTTGTCATTTCAAGAATGTTATATAAGTGGTATCATACAGTATCATACAATATTTCAGGGGATTGACTTTTTTCCACTCAGCATAACTCCCTGGACATTCATCTAGATTGTCACATGTATCTATATTTCATTCTTCTTATTCATTCCTTTTCATTGCTGAGTACTACAGTATGTATGCCAGAGGCTGTTCACCTTGGAGACTTGCATATAGGGGTGTGGCCTAGCGTGAGATTTACACCCTCTCTCCCGGATGTATGTACTGTTTTATGGTATGTATAAACTGTTTCACCCATGAAGGAAATCTAAGCTCATTCCAGTTTCTGACTATTAAAGCTGCAAGGACTTACCTGGTAGTCCAATGGCTAAGACTCCACACTCCAGGGCAGGGGGCCCAGGTTTGTTCACTGGTTAGGGAACTAGATCCCACATGCTAAAGCTCAGGAGTTTGCATGCCACAATCAAGATTCCACCTGCCACAACTAAGACCCAGTACAGCAAATAAATAAATATAAAAAATAAAGCTGCTGTAAATATTCATGTACATATTTTTGTGTCAATATAACATTTCACTGTAATTGCTAAGTCATCTCATAGATGCATAGATTTTTTGTTTTTGTTTTTTTCCATTTATTTTTATTAGTTGGAGGCTAATTACTTTACATCATTGCAGTGGTTTTTGTCATACATTGAAATGAATTAGCCATGGATTTAGCGGTTATACTATTCTACACTTCCTATAGCAATGTATGAGTGATTCATTTTCTCTACGTCCTTGCCAGAGTTTGGTTTATCACTATTTTTATTTTAGCTATTCTGTTAGGTGTGTAGTGATATCTTGTTGCAGCTTTCATTTGCATTTCTCTAATTGCTAGTTACGTAAAACATCTTTTCTTGTGTTTATTTGCCATCTGTATATCTTCTTTGGTTAAATATTTGCTCCTACCTTTTACGCATTTTCTGATTAGATTTTTTTTTTTACCATTAACTGTTGAAAGTCCTTTGTCAGATATGTAGTTGCAAACATTTTCTCCCATTCTGTGACTTTTCATTCTCTTTACATGGGCTTTTACAGAACAGATTTTTAAATTTGATAAAGTCTACTGTATCAAATTTTCCTTTTATGAATTATGCTCTTGGTATCAAGTTTAAGAATTCTTCACCTGGATCCCAAAGAGTGTCTCCAAATGTTTTATAGCTTTACATTTAAGTCTGTGATCCCTTTTGAGTTTATTTTTGTATAAGGTATGAGGTTTAGGGCAAGGTTCTTTCATTCTTGCTACAGATGTCCAGCTGCTCCAGCATCATCTGTTGAAAGGTTATTCTTCCCTCAGTGTACTGGTTTTGTGCTTCTGTCAAATATCAGTTGAGTGTATTTGCGTGGGTCGATTTCTGGGTGCTCAGTCTGTTGCACTGATCTATGAGTCTAACCTGTCAGACCATACTCCCTTGGTTACTCTAGCTATATGGTTAAGTCTTACTACTAAATAGAGTACTTCCTTCCACTTTATTCTTTAGTCCAGGGCGTGTGCCTTTTCATATAAATTTAAAAATACATTTGGACTATGCCTATTGTCTATACCTAGGGAAAAAACCTTACTGGGATTTTGATAGGCATTGCAGTAAACCTACAGATCAGTTTTAGCCATGTGCTTAGACTCCTAATGTGTTTATGTCAGTGATTTCTAGTTTGCTCCATATGCTCAGAAAACAGAGTTCATATGATTTCAATTCTCTTTAATTTGCGGAGGTGGTTTTATGGTCCAGGATGTGGTCTGTCTTGGGGAATGTTCCATAGTTGCTTTAAAAAAAAAAAAGTGGATTTTGGTGTTGAGTGGAATATTCTATTTAACTAAATCCTGTTGATTGGTAGTATTTTTCAGATCTTCTGTATCCTTGCTGGTTTTCTTCTAGTTTTATCAGTTGTTGAAAGGGAGGTGCTGAAGTCTTCAGTTACAACTGTGGATTTGTCTGTTTTACCTTTCAGCTCTATCAGCTTTTTCATGTATTTTGAGGCTCTGTTGTTTGGTGTGTACACATTTAGGGTCTTTGTCTTGCTGGTGGATTAATCCTTCTATCATTGTGTAATGTTCCTCTTTGTCTGTAGTAATTTTCTTTGCTCCATAATCTACTTTATCAGACACTGATATAGTCACTCCTTGTTTTTGATTGTTTGCATGTTATATCTTTTTCTATTTTTTTACTCTCAATCTATACATGTTCAATTTGAAGTGAGTTTCTTATAAGTAACATACAGTTGAGTTGCATTTTTATCCAATCTTTGTCTCTTAATTGATATAGTTAGGCCATTTAGATTTAAGCTAATTTCTGCTATGGTAATGCTTTATCCTGTTTGGGATTTGGCCTGGAAGTTTCTGTCTTTTATCAAATTTGGGGATTTTCCAACTATATTTCTTCAAATATTCTTTCAGCCCAAGCCACACTCACCTCTCTTTCTGAGACTGATAATATGAACAGTGGATCTGTTTCTAATTGGCAATCTAGTCGCAGCTTTAAGATGACTGCTTGAAAATCTTTGTCAAGATTCATCTCAGTATTGGCATCCATTGACTGTTTTCTCATTCAACTTGTGATTTTCCTGGTTGTTGGTATGATGTGTGACTGTTAATACCCTAGGCATCTTGTCTGTTAGGAGATGCTAGGACCCATTTAAATCTTTTATTTTTAGCAAGCATCACCCTATTTAGAGTTAGCACATGGGTCTTGGCCTGCTTTTGTGAACTGTGGTTTCGATGGCAGTTTAATTTTCAGCAGCTTTGCAGTGTTATTTTGGTCAGCTTGGTTTATCTGCGGCCAGTAGGGTTTCTGTGGATTCCTGCTGGTGCTGCCTGAGGAAGCTGAGTATCTACTGGTGAAGGAGGAGAGTCTTAAGCTACAGGGATAAAGAAGATTCCTGAACTGGTATACCTATTACGACTGGATTTCTCCCTCTGGCTCAGTCTACCCACCTACCTTGGTAACTCTTGGTGGAAAAGGGGAGTCTCAGGCCTTGCAGGGAAGGAGAGTGCCTCCCTGGTTGTTTATTTCCACCTGGGTTCCCAGTGACCCCCTTGCCAGGGGGTGTCATGCCCACTAGGCAGACACCCATTCTCTGTGGGTAGGGGCGGGTGTGTAAGCCTGTCTGGGCTGCCTTCTGTTGCTAGGTCGGGGTTTGAGAAGGACTCTCCTCTCCTGTTGGGCGGTAGGACTGTATGTACCCCGTCACTGCTGTTCTCCAGTCTTGGGGTCCCAAACTAGCGAGCCTTCTTAGTACCTTCCAGAGTTCTTTGGTTGTGTCTTGCTATCTCCAGGGTTGTTAGCTGTGCTTAGCAGGAGAAGCAGGGAAAAACAGGTCTATGTCTTCTTGTCTGGACCAAAATCAGAAACATCAGCATTCAGACTTTAGTAGTATTTCTCTTATTCTTTTATAAGTTCTGTTTCTAAATGCTGCCTCAGTCATGTGGTTTCTGAAGTGATTTGTTAAGATAAAAATTGTTTTCTAGTGAAAGACTATACAAAGTGGGGGACTTCACAAGTATTGGTCTAATAAATAGGAAATCACCCACCCCGATTTTATGGGAAGGAAGGGACACAACACTAGTCGGAAGAAATGTCAACAATAGTTCTGTTATGAGCACCTCTGTAGAAAGCTTTCACTCCTCTGTTCAAGTAAGGAAATGTAAAATACTCTTGTACTTGCTTACTGGGGCTGCAATAACCAAGTACCACAAACTGGATGGGCTAAACGACGGAAATGTTTTCCCTCACTGTCCTGGAAGCTGGAAGTCTGAGATCCAGGTATCAGCAGGCCCGTGCTCCCTGGGCAGGAGTTATTCCAGGGCTCTCCCTGCTTTTGGTAGCTCCCGGCCTGTGGCAGCATCACCCTAATCTTCACAAGGCATTCTC